CCTATCTGCAAGATATTCAGAGATGGCGGCACGGGAGAGGAGGAGCAGGATATCGGGGGACTGAATTTCCTCTTTAATTATTGATTCACCACCAGACAGCGTTTGATGAAAGTCGCATTTTCTGGTTTATAAATAGACCCGTAAAGCTCAGCAGCGAGCGTGGAGCGTGGAGTGTGGAGCGGGGAGCGCGGAGCGCGGTTTTCAAGCACCTTTAAGTAAACACGGCCAGTTCTACAGCAGAACACTCAGATGAGAGTCTCAGTAAACAAAATGTCAGAAGTGCTGCTGATCCACAGGAAGAGAGGTCACCCAGTCCTCACTCTGCCAATATATATTAATAGCTGACATTACAGAAAACAAGCCCAGCGCCACCTAAGATCGGGACACTGAACAGCCGCGCTCACCTCTCGGCGCTGTGATTATCGCGTCGCTGTTCATTTACAGATACAGTGCATGCTCCCCGAAGGAAATCATTTGTGTCATCGCTCCTCGGATCCTTTGTGAAGTAACAAAATAAGAGAAACATATAATCAAAGATGAAGATATGGCATCTAAAAGAAAAAAAATGGTTATAGAGCTGCACTGCGGCCACACAGATATTCATTTAAATATATACTATATTGCCAAACGTATTGGTCGGCCGGCCTTTCCATGAACATGACCTTTAATGGCCTCCCAGTCTTAGTCCGTAGGGTTCAATATTGAGTTGGCCCCGCCCTTCCCACACACATGACCTTTAATGGCCCCCCAGTCTTAGTCCGTAGGGTTCAATATTGAGTTGGCCCCGCCCTTCCCACACACATGAACGTTAATGGCCTCCCAGTCTTAGTCCGTAGGGTTCAATATTGAGTTGGCCCCGCCCTTCCCACACACATGACCTTTAATGCTTTAATGGCCTCCCAGTCCTAGTCCGTAGGGTTCAATATTGAGTTGGCCCCGCCCTTTGCAGCTATAACAGCTTCACCTCTTCTGGGAAGGCCGTCCACAAGGTTTAGGAGGGTGTCTATGGGAAGGTTGGACCATTCTTCCAGAAGCACATTTGTCAGGTCAGGCACTGATGTCGGGGGAGGAGTCCTGGCTCACAGTCTCCACTCTAATTCATCCCAAAGGTGTTCTATGGGGTTGAGGTCAGGACTCTGTGCAGGACAGTCAAGTTCCTCCACCCCAAACTGGCTCCTCCATGTCTTTATGGACCTTGCTTTGCGCACTGGTGCGCAGTCATGTTGGAACAGGAAGGGGCCATCCTCAAACTCCTCCCACAAAGTTGGGAGCATGAAATTGTCCAAAATGTCGCCTTAAGAGTTCCCTTCACTGTAACTAGGGGGCCAAGCCCAACCCCCGAAATACAAATCCACACCATAATCCCCCCTCCACCAAAACTTTACACAATGCAGTCAGGCAAGTACCGTTCTCCTGGCCACCGCCAAACCCAGACACATCCATAGGATTTCCAGATAGAGAAGCATGATTGGTCACTCCAGAGAACACGTTTCCATTGCTCTAGAGCAGTGGTTCTCAACCTGTGGGTCGCGACCCCTTTGGGGGTCGAACGACCCTTTCACAGGGGTCCCCTAAGACCATCAGAAAACACATATTTCCGATGTGTAAAGAGCAGCTACTGTGTAGAAAGCAGCTGCTGTGTTGAAAGCAGCTACTGTGTTGAAAGCAGCAGTATTGGAGGTAAAACGACACTCATGAATTATAATTACTGGGTAAATAATTTTATGGTTGGGGTCACCACAACATGAGGAACTGTATTAAAGGGTCACGGCATTAGGAAGGTTGAGAACCACTGCTCTAGAGTCCAGTGGCGGCGTGCTTTACACCACAGCATCCAATGCTTTGCATTGCACTTGGTGATGGAAGGCTTGGATGCAGCTGCTCGGCCATGGAAACCCATTCCATGAAGCTCTGTACACACTGTTGTTGTGCTAATCTGAAGGCCACACCAAGTTTGGAGGTCTTTAGCTATTGACTCTGCAGACAGTTGGCGACTTCTGCACACTGTGCGCTTCAGCATGTGCTGACCCCGCCCTGTCATGTGACGTGGCCTACCACTTGGTGGATGAGTGGCTGTTGTTCCCAGTTGCTTCCACTTTGTTATAATCCCACTAACAGTTGAGCGTGGAATATTTAGTAGCGAGGAAATGTCACGGATGGACTAATTGCCCAGGTGGCCACCTATCACGGGACCACGCTTGGAGTCACTGAGCTCCTGAGAGCGACCCCATTCTCACCAATGTTTGTAGAAGCAGTCTGCATGCCTAGGGGATGATTGTATACACCTGTGTCCATGGAGGGGATTGGAACACCTGAATCACATGATTTGGAGGGTGGGGCCAATATTTTTGGCAATATAGTGCATATTCTTTATAAGCTATGCAGGATATAAACCCACTTTATGCGCACCAAACATCTTTGCAAAGCAAGATATTGTCTTGTAAAAGTAGCAGTGACATTATCACTGTGCTGTACATAGAGCAAAGCTGTGAGAGGGGCCAAGACCTGTCTCCCTGCACAAGAAGAGTGAGCAGAGCTGTGGAAGGCAATCATTGAGCATAATCTGTGCTTGTTTAGCTTCAAAGGAGTGCAGAGGTGACAATAGTGGCCCCCTGATGTCTCGCTAAAGGGAACCTGTTACCTGGCCTATGTTATCACATAGGGAGCTGTCAGACCTTTTGTGAAAGCTATAAAGTTTTAAAAGAAAGCTTAAGAAAAAGAAAGGAAAAAATGTCTTGGAAATAAAAAAAAATAACAAATAAAATACAATAACAAATAATAAAATAAAATAAAAAAACAAGTTAAAAAAAAAAAAAATATATATACACACATTCAATATAAAAATTCAATATTTATAGTATACTTGCATATATATACAGTCATGGCCGAAATTGTTGGCACCCTTGATATTTCTCCAGGAAATCATGTATTTCTCACGAAACGTATTGCATTAACACATGTTTTGCTATACACATGTTTATTCCCTTTGTGTGTATTGGGACAAAACAAAAAAAGGGAGGAAAGAAAGCAAATTCGACATAATGTCACACAAACCTCCAAAAATGGGCTGGACAAAAGTATTGGCACCCTTTCACAACTGCGGATAAATAAGAATGTTACAAGCATGTGATGCTCCTGTAAACTCACCTGGGGCAAGTAACAGGTGTGGGCAATATAGAAATCACACCTGAAAGCAGATAAAAAGGAGAGACGTTCACTTAACCTTTGCATTGTGTGTCTGTCTGTGCCACACTAAGCATGGACAACAGAAAGAGGAGACGAGAACTGTCTGAGGACCTGAGAACCAAAATTGTGGCAAAATATCAACAATCTCAAGGTTACAAGTCCATCTCCAGAGAACTAGATTTGCCTTTGTCCACAGTGCGCAACATTATCAAGAAGTTTGCAACCCATGGCACTGTAGCTAATCTCCCTGGTCGTGGACGGATGAGGAAAATTGATGAAAGATTGCAACGCAGAATAGTCCGGATGGTGGATAAGCAGCCCCAAACATGTTCCAAAGACATTCAAGCTGTCCTGCAGGCTCAGGGAGCATCAGTGTCAGCGCGAACTATCCGTCGACATTTAAATGAAATGAAACGCTATGGCAGGAGACCCAGGAGGACCCCACTGCTGACACAGAGACATAAAAAAGCAAGACTACAGTTTGCCAAAATGTACTTGAGTAAGCCAAAAGCCTTCTGGGAAAACGTCTTGTGGACAGATGAGACCAAGATAGAGCTTTTCGGTAAAGCACATCATTCTACTGTTTACCGAAAACGGAATGAGGCCTACAAAGAACAAAACACAGTACCTACGGTAAAATATGGTGGAGGTTCAATGATGTTTTGGGGTTGTTTTGCTGCCTCTGGCACTGGGTGCCTTGACTGTGTGCAAGGCATCATGAAATCTGAGGATTACCAAAGGATTTTGGGTCGCACTGTAGGGCCCAGTGTCAGAAAGCTGGGTTTGCGTCCAAGATCCTGGGTCTTCCAGCAGGACAATGACCCCAAACATACGTCAAAAAGCACTCAGAAATGGATGGCAAAGAAGCGCTGGAGAGTTCTGAAGTGGCCAGCAATGAGCCCAGATCTAAATCCCATTGAACACCTGTGGAGAGATCTTAAAATTGCTGTTGGGAAAAGGTGTCCTTCCAATAAGAGAGACCTGGAGCTGTTTGCAAAGGAAGAGTGGTCCAAAATTCCGGGTGAGAGGTGTCAGAAGCTTATTGATGGTTATAGGAAGCGACTGATTTCAGTTATGTTTTCCAAAGGGTGTGCAACCAAATATTAAGTTAAGGGTGCCAATACTTTTGTCCAGCCCATTTTTGGGGTTTTGTGTGACATTATGTCATATTTGCTTTTCTGCCTCTGTTTTATATTTGTTCCAATACATACAAAGGGAATAAACATGTGTATAGCAAAACATGTGTTAATGCAATACCTTTTTTGTGTGAAATACTTGATTTTCAGGAAAAATATCAAGGGTGCCAACAATTTCGGCCATGACTGTATATATATATATTGTATTTTTCGCTCCATAAGACACACTTTTTTCCCTCCAAAAAATGGGGGAAATTGTCTGTGTGTCTTATGGAGCGAATATGGATCTGCCAGCCCAATATTCCCACCGTCGCTACCTCCGTGTTTGAATACTGGGCCGGCCGCTTCGCTCTACTGTGCAGAAGAACCTGTTCCTCGGGTCCAGTGGTGACCTGCTTTCACCGGCGCCGGCCTCTTCAGTGTGGGCACCCGGCTGTGACAGCTTACAGCTTCACAGCCGGGTGCCCACTGAGCATGTGCGAGAAGCGCTGCACTTTGTGAATGGCCCCGTAGTCTTCTGGGACCTGCCACGTGTCCCAGAAGACTATGGGGAGGGGGGGACAACTCCACCGAAGTGGGAGCGAGTACCTGTCAAATTCAGGTAATTCCCCCCCCAGTCCCCAAAGGTCCGCAGTCTCTGGTCATGTTCTGTACTATGTCCGCATTCTCTGGTCATCTCCTGTACTATGTCTGCAGTCTCTGATCATCTCCTGCACTGTGTCTGCAGTCTCTGGTCATCTCCTGTACTGTGTCCGCAGTCTCTGGTCATCTCCTGTACTGTGTCCGCATTCTCTGGTCATGTCCTGTACTATATCTGCAGTCTCTGGTCATCTCTTGTACTATATCCGCAGTCTCTGGTCATCTCCTGTACTATATCCGCAGTCTCTGGTCATCTCATGTACTATGTCTGCAGTCTCTGGTCATCTCCTGTGCTGTCCGCAGTCTCTGGTCATCTCCTGTACTGTGTCCGCAGTCTCTGGTCATCTCCTGTACTATATCTGCAGTCTCTGGTCATCTCCTGTACTATGTCTGTAGTCTCTGCTCATCTCCTGTACTATGTCCGCAGTCTCTGGTCATGTCCTGTACTATGTCCGCATTCTCTGGTCATCTCCTGTACTATATCCACAGTCTCTGGTCATCTCCTGTACTATGTCCGCAGTCTCTGGTCATCCCCTGTACTGTGTCTGCAGTCTCTGGTCATCTCCTGTACTATATCCGCAGTCTCTGGTCATCTCCTGTACTGTGTCTGCAGTCTCTGCTCATCTCCTGTACTGTGTCTGCAGTCTCTGGTCATTTCCTGTACTATGTCTGCAGTCTCTGGTCATCTCCTGTACTATGTCTGCAGTCTCTGGTCATCCCCTATATTATGTCCGCAGTCTCTGGTCATCTCCTGTACTATGTTCGCAGTCTCTGGTCGTCTCCTGTACATTGTCTGCAGTCTCTTGTCATTTCCTGTACTATGACCGCAGTCTCTGGTCATCTCCTGTACTATGTCCGCAGTCTCTGGTCATCTCCTGTACTATGTCCGCAGTGTCTGGTCATCTCCTGTACTATGTCTGCAGTCTCTGGTCATCTCCTGTACTGTGTCCGCAGTCTCTGGTCATCTCCTGTACTGTGTCCGCAGTCTCTGGTCATCTCCTGTACTATATCCACAGTCTCTGGTCATCTCCTGTACTATGTCCGCAGTCTCTGGTCATCCCCTGTACTGTGTCTGCAGTCTCTGGTCATCTCCTGTACTATATCCGCAGTCTCTGGTCATCTCCTGTACTGTGTCTGCAGTCTTTGCTCATCTCCTGTACTGTGTCCGCAGTCTCTGGTCATTTCCTGTACTATGTCTGCAGTCTCTGGTCATCTCCTGTACTATGTCTGCAGTCTCTGGTCATCTCCTGTACTATGTCTGCAGTCTCTGGTCATCCCCTATATTATGTCTGCAGTCTCTGGTCATCCCCTATATTATGTCCGCAGTCTCTGGTCATCTGCTGTACTATGTCTGCAGTCTCTGGTCATCTCCTGTACTGTGTCTGCAGTCTCTGGTCATCTCCTGTACTATGTCCGCAGTCTCTGGTCGTCTCCTGTACTATGTCTGCAGTCTCTTGTCATCTCCTGTACTATGTCCGCAGTCTCTGGTCATCTCCTGTACTATGTCCGCAGTCTCTGGTCATCTCCTGTACTGTCTGCAGTCTCTGGTCATCTCCTGTACTGTTTGCAGTCTCTGGTCATCTCCTGTACTGTCTGCAGTCTCTGATCATCTCCTGTACTATGTCTGCAGTCTCTGGTCATCTCCTGTACTATGTCCGCAGTCTCTGGTCATCTCCTGTACTATGTCCGCAGTCTCTGGTCATCCCCTGTACTGTGTCCGCAGTCTCTGGTCATCTCCTGTAGTACGTCTGCAGTCTCTGGTCATCTCCTGTACTGTGTCTGCATTCTCTGATCATCTCCTGTACTATGTCTGTAGTCCATTGGTTCAGAATATTTTTTTTCTTGTTTTCCACTTCTTAAATCTAGGTGTGTCCACAGATGTGCAACTTTGCAGGGAGTTTAAGCAGACCCCTTAGGCATGATATTTAAAGGATTTATATATATATATATATATATTATTTTTTTTTTTATTTAAGCAATGAAAAATGACTGCCCCTTTTAAAATTGTACTTTTTTAATGTTTTTTTTTTCTTCTCTGATTCATGTCCCTCCAGGCAGTACCCAAGTTCTCATACCCCTTTTATGGCCAATAACTTGCATAAAAGTCTTCAAGCCTTCAAGACTTTTAAATTTACAAGTTCAAGTCCCATAGACTTGCACTGAGTTTGAAGTTTGCGGTCGAACGTTCATTAGGTTTTTACATTCGACCGCGGGTGTTCGGCCCATCACTAATGCAGGACCATAGGGGAACCCAAAAACTCAGCGACTCCTAAGGGGGTAGTGCTACGAATGCAAAAACAGTTCTGGCAGCCACTTCTGTGGCTCTTCACATTAGACGATTTATGAAGGAATCAGTAGAGGAACCAGGCAGAACTGATTTATAAATAGACACATAAAGCAGGATATTGTTGCCGGTAACCTTGTATAATTAAATACTCTTGACATCACCAGCTATATCAATGTCTGTGCAGACATTTTTATTCTTGTCTTCCATCAGACCCCCCCCTTCCCTCCGACTCTCACCCCTCTGGTAATTTTACCAGTCATTTAAGGGAGGTCAGGTGGGTTTTGTTTGTGTGTTTCATTGCTTTGCTGCCTGCTAAATGTGCGGCAGGCCCCTGCAGCATGAAAGGCAGAGATGAAATAGAGTCAATTTCCCGTGAAGGGTTTAAATGAAAATTCCTCCTGCCAAACCTCATTACTGATGGAGAAAAATGATGAAATGGACCTCCATTTTCCCGACCATTGAGAAATTTCAAGGTAAATGTCTCATAATTGTCAGCCGTCTATCAGCGACCCATGCATTCAGGGTTATTTCCATTCCAGGAAGGAATGTTGATTAATATGAAAATAGTAAAATAATAGCCAATATTAATAATTCAGCTATATAGAGTTGTGCTCAAAAGTTTGCCTCCCCTTGGAGAACTGGTAATATATAGGATGTATCATTTTTACAGAAACCATGAGTGAGCCGGGAAAACCCATTTCTTTTATTTCTTATGGGATTCATATTCTGTAACTGGAGGTCATAACAGAATGGCCAATCATAAAACAGAACATGGCAACAAGTGAACCAATGAAATGCCTCCCTCCCCTTTCAATAGTCTGCATCTCCTTAGTTCTTAATCCTGTGTATTGCCCCCTTTGGCATCAATGACAGCGGTCAGTATTTTGTAATAATTGTCTATGAGGGCCCAAATTCTTGCAGGTGGTAGAGC